ACTATAGGATTGATTTTTGAGCCAATGAAATGGTCTGGACTATTTCAAGATAGTCCATAATGGACTTTTTCGTAGGTGGTGATTTTGCAGGGAGCTGGGATTGAGAGTAAGAATCATCATTTGATAACCCAAAGGCTTCCCTTCTGTGCCTTCCACAGTTTAGCTTCTTTATGCATTCATTGGTGTCATAGCCATTTTTGTGACGTCCTGAACCCTCATCCACCTTTTGCTGATTTGAAACACTCATGCAGGTTGGACTTGGACTCAGGAAGCTAATAAGAATTAGGCTAATAAACTTCACAGTTTCTGTATTACCTTTATTGATATGACTTTTCTATCCAAAGTCTTTTTAATTCCCACCAAGTGATTGGGTGGGACCATGCAAATGAGGTGTATAGGACTGTAAGGCTGAGTTGGATTAATTTTGCCATTCAGTTAGGTCAAAAGGAACAATCTCAGAAGCAGGGGCAGATGCTCCTAGGACCATCAAGAAGGAATAGCATGAGTAGAGCGTGGGCTCCCTACCTAGAAAAGCGGCAACAGCAGAGGCCCTGCCTTGGAGAAAAAGACCAGCTTTAGGCTCTAGGCCCATAAACTGAATAAAGCTGAGTGCCTACCGGCTTGCAGAATAAGTCCTTTGGGCATTCAAAAGGACTGACTAAAAGAGTTTGGTAACACTTTGTGGAGCAGGGCAGAGGCCAAGGGGCCCCATGGCTACTAAAGACAAGAGTGAAGCTTGCCAGCAGTATGACAGACAAGAGGCATTCCTGACTGGAAAACTGGTGTGTCCTGAGCTTTTCTGATCCTGTTCACTTTTCTGATCCTGTTCACTTCCCTAATAAGCCTCATAATCGTGAGTATTGTTATGAGTTCAGTTCCCCCAGCTTGAGAAATGCTGAGCGTGTTCTTCCTTTTTGGTTTTCTGAGTCCAAACCTTAGCAAAATTTGTTGTAATATTTGGCTTTATCTTTTCGAGCTGATCTTTGAAATTTTCTGTTCAGCCCTTGGACCTCCTCATTTCTTCCATTTGCTTTACCATCTCTATGCTGGAGAGCAAATTTCAGTGTCTCTTCTAACATCTATTTTGAACTTTTCCTTCTTTCTTGTCTTCTCAATGACTTTTTGTTTTCTTCATGTATGATGTTCTTGATGCCATCCCACAACTCTTCTGGTCCTTGGTCATTAGTGTTTAATGTATCAAATCTGTTCTTCAGATGATCTCTAAATTCAGGTGGCATATATTCAAGGTCATATTTTGGCTATATTAGACTTGTTTTCATTTTCTTCAGTTTCAGTTTGAATTTGCATATGAGTAATTGATGGTCTGTTCCACAGTCAGTCCCTGACCTTGTTTTGACTGATGTTATGGAGATTTTCCATCGTCTCTTTCTGCAGATGTAGTCAATTTGATTTCTATGTATTCCATCTGGTGAGGTCCATGTGTATAGTCTTCTCTTATGCTGTCTAAGGAAGGTATTTGAAATGAACAAATCATTGATTTTGTAGAATTCTATCATGCATTCTCTAGCATCATTTCTATCACCAAGGCCATATTTTCCAACCACTGATCCTTCCTCTTTGCTCCCAGCCTTTGCATTGCAATCACCAGTAATGATCAATACATCTTGATTGCATGTTTGATCAATTTCAGATTGAAGAAGTTGGTAGAATTCTTCTATTTCATCCTCACTGGCTTTAGTGGTGGTGCGTAAATTTGAATAATAGTGATCTGGATATGTTCTTTTTGACAATGAATGCCACACCATTCCTCTTCAATTTGTCATTTCCGGCATAGTTAACCCTGTGGTCATCAGATTAAAAAATGGCTCATCTTCTTGCCTTTTCCTTAACAGGTACTCCAAATGTATATGTTATATATTTGCTATTGAAATGTCTTTGAGGATTGATACCATGATACCATATCACACAATCCAAGTTAACAAGGATTGAAGGGTGATATTTTTCTCAAGACTCAGTATTTGTAATAGTTTTGCCTTGCCATAGCTGTTAGAAAGTTTTTATTATATGGATTGGGTAAACCATGTGACTGGTTAATTCTGTTAATTGTTAGAAAACCCAGAGCCTTTTTATTTTCCCCTAGTTCTTTTTAGTTTTGCTGTAACTGTATTTGCTTTTGTTTATGTAGCACTATCTGCTAGACAGCAGTCGTGGTGACTCAGTGGTTAAGCACTCAGCTGCTAACGAAAAGGTTAACCTACCAGTTGCTTCCCAGGAGAAAGATGTGGCACTCAACTTCTGTAAAGATTTACAGCCTTGGAAACCCTAAGGAGGAGCAGTTCTTCTTTGTCCGATTGGGTCTTTGTGAGTTGGAATCAACTCTTAGGCACCTGGTTTGCTTTTTTTTTTTTATTTGCCAGCCACTGATCTAAGCTCTTTGCATATATATTCGAATTTATTCTCGCATCAACTCTGGTTTATTATTCTTAAATTGCATTTAAGTAAACTGAAACGCAGATAATGTAAGTAACTTATCCAAAGTTGCACAGCTAGGAAGTGACAGAGCTCGTACTTTTAATCCAACATTTCACTGCTCCTAGCATTGCATTTAATTAGGGCCTATAACATTTCACTGCTTCTAGCATTGCATTTAATTAGGGCCTATATTGTTGTTATATGCCGTGTAATCAGTTTCGACTCATAGCTACCCTGTACAGGGTTTCCGAGGCTGTAAATCTTTACAGGAGCAGAAAGCCTCATCATTCTCCCGCGGAACAGCTGGTAGTTTCGAACTACTGACCTTGAGGTTTGCAGTCTGATTCGTAACCACTACGCTCCCAGAGAGCTCCTAGCGCGCCTATATTGCTATGTAAAAATACATATGTAAATTAACAAGGCATGTGGTTTAATAAGGCGAGGTGGAGTTATTAAGTCCAGGATCAAAGTGGCCTGTACTTGATCCCAGTTCATTCCAGAATTTCCAGAATAATCTTAGATCAATGCTACTTGAAGTGTTTGTAACAGGTGTAAAATGACATATTTGTAAATAAGCATTTAAGACTTTTCTCGAAAGAATCTGTTTACACTAATAATAAAAGTTTGGCCTCATATTTTATAGTATTTAAAATTTTCATTTTCGCTACATTTTATATTTATTGTTTTTCATCAAAGTTATGGTCTTTTAGGGTTTGGAATTTTTTTTAAAGTGCTCTTTAACATAGTTTGCAAAACACTGTGTTGCAGTTATTTTGCAAGGTTTTAAACTAAGTTTATTTGAAAAAGATTTAAAAAACAACACCTGCAATTCGACATTGCATTCTAATATAAGCCTGCTTCTGAAGGTGAATTGTGGTGTTTGGCTCATTTGTCAGCTGCTTGGTTCCCAGAGAAGAGGCCCTAACTTCAGTTGGCTTGTTTGGTAGAAGGCATTTTTTTTTTTTTTTTTTTTTCATTTTTCCATACGCTTAGTATTTTTTTAAAGAATGAGAATTACGTCCTTGATCTAAGCAGTAGAAGGAGGAATACATTCATCATCCATCGATACAATTCCCTTTCTTGCGTTGTCAAAACAGCTAATCAAGAAAAAAAAAATTTTTTTTAATGCAGATTAGATATAAATTCTGAAATACCAGAAAAATAAAAAAAAAGAAAGCAACAACAATGCATTGCTAATGATGCCAGCTTAGTACTTCTGTTTATGGAAACAAAGATAGTTTCATTGAGATACTATTTGCACTACTAGCTCAGATTGTTTATTTCTTGCTGGGTTGGAGCTGGGGAGTCCCCTTCTATAATAAAATATGTTGTAAAATAGGTTCATGAAAAATTACCAATCCTTATGTCCGTAAAATTATCACTTCCTCTTTCAGATAGTCTCTAATTGGTGATCCCCTTAAGGTAGCATTTGATAAGGAATCTAGATGTTTAAAAAAATGCCTTCAAAAAGAGAAATAAGTTAGGGACGTGAACAGGCATTTTGCAGAGACAGAAATTCAAATTACCAAAAAATGTTCAACTGTACTAATTAAAAATTCAGCTACCACTTTGTCAGCAATAAGAAATTGTAAGTAATACTTGGTTTTGGAGAAACAGATACCCTTAGGAGTCACCAGTGGTCTTGTAAATTGGTTCGACTTTCTGGAGGATAATTTGGTAGTACTCATCAGACTCTGAAATATATGAATAGCTTTATTAAGCTATTCCATTTTAGGAAATTTATCCTGAAGAAATGATTAAATACATACTCAAAGATTTAGAATTGACTTTCAGATTACATTATGGTGTGTCTATACAGTGAAATACGGCATGACATAAAAATGAAGTTACAGAAACACATCTATATATATTATTAAGGGGAGGAAATAGACCATACCTTATAATATTATTACATTTAAAATAATGTATCTGTAAAAGTATATGTATAAAAAAAAACATCTGAAGAAAATATTTTAAGCCCTTATATGAGAACTATTATGGGGGTTTGCAAGATTTTTGTACTTCATTTACTTATTTATTCTGTAATGAGCATTATTGCTTTTGAAGGTTTTTTTGAGAGAGAACATGGGATTTGAGTTCTGAATGGGGAGGAGAAAGGCTCTGTTTTTTGGTACTTGGAAAAAGATAGTTTCAGTTTGCTACTGTTTGGGTTTTACATGCTGACTTTTGGGACTCCATTAAGAAATGCACAGAATGGTGCAGGGAGAAAGGAAACTGGTCATTAACAGGATGTCGGCATTCTCAGGTCCTTTTTGAAGGTTCCGGAGGGTCCTATTTTTCTTTCAGAACTGGTTCTTGAAAGCTGTGTTTGAGAGATTTCTTTATGTTTTTCCTCCATGACAAATGCCTATCATTTTCTAAACAAGAAAGCCAATGTCCCACTTAGGTGTGTGGAGTTATTTTCATTCACTCTTGGTCCTGTTGTGTTAATACTGAATAAGCAGAGACAGCTTGGCTGGTGGTGAAAGATGGTAAGCTGGCCTCAGGGCTTTTTCTGGTCAGCCCAAACCTCTGATTGCCACGTTTCCCTAATTTCCCATTTCCAGGGCATCACTAGAGTGACCTTGCTTGCTGAATGTGATGTTCTGAATCTCCAAGATTTTCGCATGCATTTGGAAGTGGGCAGCCAAGCGATTGTTTACAGGACTCCAAATGAACTGTGCACTCACAGCAAGTTTGATAAACACACATTTCCTCCTTTTATCAGGGAGATTGCAGAATGTGAAGTATGGGTTTCCAGTTTTACTCATTCCCCTCAACTCTTTTCCTGTTTAAAAACTTAGACATACTAATTGGATGCTGATCTGTCCCTGTTTTTTATTCTGCTTACTGGTAGTTGACGGCTTATTCCAATGCTTACCTAGGCAAGGCTTGGCAAACCTTCAAAAATAAACTTTCCATGTATTCAGCCTAAAGGAGATTCATCCCAAGGAATGTAATGTGAGCACTAATTAACAGTAATGACTGCTAATCACTTTGCTTTTTATACTCCTTCAGGAGCACTGTTATTATCCAATGTACTGAAGTAAAATGCTCATATATGAATCAGCAACGCTGCATTCCTTTTAGCAGCTATTGCTCACAATCAAGCTTTGCATAAATTAGAGTTAACTAAAATGAATTTTCGTATACTACATTCCTTTCTACAGTAATAAACTAAAATATCGAGTTAAATATCCTGAATATTAAGACATTACCTGATTCTCCCCCTCCCCCCCACCCCCGTCATTCTTGTGGTAAGTGGAAACCTATGTTCCAAGTACATTTTCTCACAGTTCATACGACTTTCTCTTAGATTTCCTCAAAATTGCATGTGACATACTCTTCATAGTCACAGCAGTACTTTGATTCGGTTGTAAACATTTTATAAGATCAATGAAAAGTGATAGCCTTGTGTTTAATTTTTCTGAATTTGTGCCTTTTTGTCCTAGCAGAGCTTACAGGTTCTTTAAATTATATAGTCCATTTATATAAACTTGGTTCATAGGATTGTGCATTCAGTGTTCATTAAAAAGACTTGTTTTATTATGTTTAGTGTATTATTAGACCATTATAAAAGCTTTCTGTTTATTTACATGCATTCAACATACCTACAAACTGCCTTGCCTCAGGAGGAGACTAAGCAAAACTCATAAATTAATAATTTAAGGGGAGCAATACTCAAGTAGCATTTTGGTTAAGTTATTAAGTTAAAGCCATAGACTTTGTGATAGTCACTTTAACAATGCTTTACTTTTGACTTTTATTGGTTGAAAATAACTTGTTAAACGGCTGCTTTAGTAATAAAATGAAATCTACATACCATCCCCTTCCCTTCTTTGATTTATAAGTAGGTTGACATATTATTGAAGAATTCTTAACACTTTCACAGTTCTGCACTTTGATTTCAGAGAAGGCGCTAATCTCTCTGGAAGTTTGAAAGTGGCAAATGAGTTGTATACCATTTTTTTTTCTAGGGAATTTGGAGTTCTTATTAGAGACCTTAGTCTTACGATAGTATCTGAATTAAATTCTCTAACATGGTGTGGTGTCATGATTTGATGTGTTAATGGAATAAGTGCTGGACTGCAAAACCACAAGGTTGGCGGTTTGAGCCCACCAGCTGCTCAGCAGGTGAAAGATGAGGTTTTCTGCTTATGCTAAGATTTCCAGTCTCAAAAACCCTATACAGGGTCATTATGAGATGAAACTGACTCTACAGCACTAAGACCTTGACAACAATGGGATATTCTTAATTTTGAAGTAAAATAATTAAATTTCCTTTTTAACATTTGAAATATTTGTAGTGCTGAAAAACTTACATTTTTGGTGACCAAACAAGTGGAAAAATTTAATGACAGTGTAATAAGAAGCTTTATATTTTATACACTAGTCGATTGGAAACATGTGTTTTTTAAAAATTAACTTTGATGATATAACTTAATTGAATTTGGTTTCAAAGAATTGTAACAGGAATGATGTGAAAGAACAGAAAATACATGGAAGCTTAACTGAATGCTATTCATATGCAATCATTAAATTCACAAGTATTGCTGTATGTAATTATTTTACTCTGTGGTACTGTTTTATAATAGCACAAAATGTGTATCAATGAGGAAAAACTTTCCTTTCCTCTTTTTCTTGGAATTTGAGTTCTGATGTAAAAGAAAATGACATCTAAAAAAGGTAAGGATTTAAATTTTCATCTGTGTTCTTTTGCAATGTTTTTACTCTCCTGTGGGAGTGATTGATTTGTAGCTGTCATTTTACCCAAAGAGGGGACAAATGGAATTGGCCTTTTGGACAAAAGTATGCAAACAGACTGCATTCTGTCTGTTGATAGAATTATGGAAGGTTTGCATGAGGTGCCACATTCATTTTCCTATTGATTGTGAACAGGATTCTGCAGCGGGGTGCTGTTTCCAATGGATAAGGAGGTGCTATGATTAGTTACCTTTTTCATTAAAGCACTACAAAGGGAAATGCAAAATGTGTGCAGTGCCTTGTTCTCAAACTGACAGTTGTTTTTGTCAAGTTGTTTGCCCCATTGAAGTCTGGCTTATTTTAGAAAAACATACATTTTAGGTACACCCACCACCACCACCACCACCACCACCATATTAGGCTTAGTAGATTTCCAGCATTTGACCCTTTAAAGAAATTATACATTACAATTTTTTTTTTCTTTCTCTAGGCTTTTATTGTAAAGCTCCAAAGCTAATGCAACAGTGCCCTCTATAGTCTTTTGTTGAACACTAGATACATGTTGGTGATTTAGAATATTCAGGTAAAAAGCACGATATTCAAGTTTATTTTTTGCTCAAACAAGAGATCTCTTTTTCCTAAGTAGACATTCTTGTTTTTCACTAGCGGCTTTGCTTTAAACAAAGGGAACAAAAGCCCATTCTAAGTTTTCATTTAGAATTATTGGCTACCTCTTGTTACCCAGTGGCAAATCTCAAGTTTTATCAGACATTCATCTGAGTAATCTGAGATAGGAGGAATATTACATGCTGTAAGGTCTCTTCATGAAATATCTTTTTGAAGTTGAGCTCCAAAAGGTGTATTTTCAAAAATAATTTCATTCCTTTATACTTGTTTTTCTTATTTAATTATAGTCTGAGTGGGCTGCCTTGAACTTCACTTTTCCTTGTTCCTGAATTGGGTAACCCAGTCTGAAACAGGACATTATTTAAACTTGAGCCAAGGCAGGTACACAATGACTAAAGTGTTTGTAATTCATTAACATTTATTTAAATTTTTGATTCCTCTCTTTCCTAAAAAAGGAATTTCCTATTGGATTTTATATGATGACAGCAAAGGTTTTCACTGTTAAATGCAACTTTATGTGAAGTTATTAAGTAATAATAAAAGCAGGGATCATATTTAGGTATCTTTAGAGGAGACAACTTTGGTGAGACAAACTTATTCACTCAAATTTTTGAGTAAAAAGAGCCTGACCAAATCCTAGTCTCCCATGTATTAACTAATACAGAAGGCATCTCTTAACCACTGATCCTACTTTCTGATCTATAAGATGGGAATAAAAATAGCTTATCTTTTGAACTTTTTGTGAAGATTAGAAACAATATTGGTAAATTGTTCAATTCTATTACTCTAAAAATTACAGCTTAAAGGTAAATGGTTTTGTTTTATATTGTGAAAGTTATAATATAAGTCTAGAATATATTTAACGTGCTTTAGATAGGATTTTTGAGTCCTGTGTGGTGCTGTAAGGTAAGCATTCGAATGCAATGTTGATTTGAACCGAATGGTCATTGGTTCAAATCCATCAGCTGCTCCATGGAAACCCTATACAGAGCTGCTACTGGGGGAATCAATTCCATGGCACTTAACAACAACGATAAGATTTATTTAAAAGATAACTTCTGATGACTTATGTGAATCTGAAGGCAGATGTGCATGTTTGATGATGTGGACTCACAAAGTAGAGAGCTGCCTACAGACCATATTCGCAAACTTCTCAAATGATTGTGGTGGTTGTGTGCAACCAGTGGTTCCCACTCTTACCCACTCTATATGGTTTCTGAGGCGGACAGTCTTTACTGGAGCAGAAAGCCTCATCTTTCTCCCTCGGGTCAACTGGTAGATTCCAACTGTTGACCTGGAGATTAGCAGTCCAACTCGTAATCCAGTATACTACCAAAGGCTCCATTTATAAATTTATTTTAGTAAATTTTTGCCTCACACATTATATGTGGAAACTGACAATCAGCGTTAAAAAAAAGAAAAGGAGTCTTCCTTCTCCACCTCCCACTCCCACCCCGACATTATTGTATCTGGGAATACTTAGGAAAATCTTTTCGTTTACCTATGTTCTTAGTGGTGTACAATAAGTGTAGAACTCTTATTTGTATATTCTGGAAAGGAGAAGTTTTCTGGCTGAAGTGTAGATGGCTTAGAGTTTGTCTTCTTTGAAGGAACGAAGTTTGAAAGCCACCTGGTACTGTTGTTAACTGCTGGGAGTCTCTTCCAACTCACAGCAACCCTGTTTAATTGTTTCAGAGGAGCATCTGATGAGTTTGAATCGATAACTTTGTGGTTCAAATCGACCTTGCTGTTGAGTGCGTATCCTACAACGCTAGATACTGTTGTTAACTGCCATCAAGTCTGTTTTGATTCATAGTGATCCTGTATACAGTTTCCAAGGAGAGGCTGATGAGTTTGAACTGCTGACCTTGAGGTTAAAGCCAACCTTGAGGTCCAGTGTTTATTCTTAGGTGCCACACCAGGACTATTATATATGTATAATTATGTACACACATACAAACACACACACTCCTTTGTCTAGTGCAGGGAACTTGTCTTACTTTAATGAATTTATAGCACCTACTGGACTCCTGGTGTGGCACTGTTGGTTAATGCGCCAGACTGCAAAGCCATTTGAACTGCAAGGCCGGCAGTTCAGGCTCACCAGCTGCTCCTCGGAAACCCTATACAGGGTTGCTATGGGTCGGAACTGACTCGACGGCACTTAACAACAACAACTTCTGTACCTGGTATATAAAAGCTGCTCAGTTAGTGTGTGCTGAATGCAGAATGTTTTTGACATTTAGGCCTTTCCTTCTTATGGACATATACAACTTTAGATATCATGTACGTGTAATTGTTTCCGAGTAAACTATTTAAATAAAGCACATTTCCAATGTAGTTTATCAGTTTTCTTTTCAGAAGTCAAACTAATTGTTTTAGCTAAAAATAATCATGGAAGAGGAATGAAAAAATATAACTTTAGGGTGATTAAAAGCTGTTTTGCAATGATGGATTTGGTTTAAAATTCAGACATTGCAAATGATCTAATAAATTAAAATGATCTTCCACAAGGAGCTTCTGATTTTCTGAAATTTCAGTGGAGAATTGTTTTGTTTTTCTTGCATTTCATATTGATTTCAAGTAATCTGGAATTTAGGATTATAATAAACCACATGTTTTTGTTCTTTTTTTTAGTATATCGCTTGGATTAAAATTGAGACTTTGAAATTGTCTTAATTTTTAATCATTGTAAAGAAGAAACCAATTATTTAAGCCAATAAAGTAAAAATGAATAAGGTTTTAATAAACTAAATATAGTAACTCGTTTTGTTTTTTTTTTTTAAAATGACTACTACAATAAGAAACATGTTTAAAATTAAATTTTGGCTTATAAGACTGACAAGATGCTGTCTATGAAAAAAAATGAATAAGATACTTTTTTCTTTGCAAAGAAAGTACCAAATTAAGAATCCGTTTAATTAAAATAGTGATAAATGTAGATTGCATTACTGAAGACAGTGAATTACAGCTGCTCTGTCTGGTAAGAGGCTGCATAATTTACCAAGACTGTTCAAAGAAGCAATGAAGCAACCACTGCAGACTGTTAGAGGAAATGTCCTGTTTATCCTACATACATTTCTTTTTTTAATTAAAATGTCAATGATAATTTTATAGCAGTCCTCAAAAAAAAAAAAAAAAATTCTTTAAATTTTTTAAAGGTGGTAGGTTATGAGATGAAATCATTGTTGCTAAATGAAGCAGATTAAACCTGAGGAAAAATAGCTTTATTATTTTAATTTTTTATTATAAATTGATACTTAACATGTTTGAGGATATACATGTAAAAAAAATATATACGTATACATGCATATATTTTATATGCGTCTTGTATGGGAGAAATATGGCAAAATCGTTGACTGAATATTTTATTTACATATCTTTTGGAGTTACAAGCAAGACTTGGTTGGCATAGTGAATAATATTATTTGCAAATAAAGGTGTACATGTTGTTGCTTATAGGTACTATTGAGTCAGTTCTCACTCAGCAACCCTGTATGGGGTTTCCAAGGAGCGGCTAGTGAGTTTCAGCTGCCATTCTTGTGGTTATCAGTCCAGTGCTTATCCCACAGTGCCATGCCAGGACTCCAAAGGTTTGCATAGGTACAAGTTGCCCAGTTGCCCAGGAGCCAACTCTGAATCTTGGTAACCCTGTGTGGGTCAGAGTAGAACTGTGCTCCACACGGTTTTCCTTAACTGATGAGCTTTATTATGAGCTTCCTCGGCTAGACTCAAATCACCAA